CTGATACCTGTGCACAATGTGCATCTTGCTGGGTTTGAAACACCAGTGGCTCAGCCTCAAAACTCCCATCAACATGTCACCACGGTAGGACAAACTGACAGACAAGTTTGTCTCCCTGTTGGAAACCTCTCGTACCACCCTTACCTGGGTCCCTGCAGCTGACTGCTCCTCTGTCCAGGTTCCTGGGCCTTTTAATCCCCTTTCTCTCATTCTCCTGCCCTGCTGCTTTGGGCATGTCTGGGTTCCCTCTCCTCACCTGGATCCCTGTGGCTGACTGCTCCTCTGTCCGTGTTCCTGGCTTTTAATACCCTTTCTCTCACTCTCCCATCCTGCTGCTTTGGGTGTGCCTGGGTTATCTTTCCTCACCTGGACCCCTGCGGCTGACTGCTCCTTTGTCCAGGTTCCTGGGCCTTTTAATCCCCTTTCTCCTGCCCTGCTGCTTTGGGCATGCCTGGGTTCTCTCTCCTCACCTGGATCCCTGCAGCTGACTAGCACTGTGTCCTGACTAGCACTGTGGATATAGTTTGTTTCATTCCTCTACTGACCAGGAATCTGAATTTTCATTCTGTTGACAGTGGATACTGAACAAAAACAAGGAATAAATTAGCTAAGAGAGCTTTTATTAGTATTCTTTGCCAATCAAGTGAGTTTACCTGTTTGTTGGCTTTCAACACTGCCCTCAATGTGGCAATCTGTTCTCTTTTGGTGCTCAGCAGGGACTTTAGCTTGAGAATCTCTTCCATTAAGGCTTCCTTGTCTTTATCAATCATAGGGGCCAGCTCCCGTGCTGCTGCTCTTTGACGAGACAGTTGTAAGGACCGGTCCACAGCCTTCTGCAGATGCTTGATTTGGTCCCGGATAATGGCATTAAGGTTGTAGATATTCATTGGCTCTTTGCGGATGTCACTCGTATCTAGTACTGGAGATGATGGTGGGGCAGTAATAACAGGAGAGATTGTGGGTGTTTTAGTAGGACTTGGTTCTTTGTTGGCCTCTGGGTTTTCTTTTGAAACTGGTTCAGAAGCGGTCCTTGTTTCTCCTGGGGATGACACACCTCGCCTGGCTAACCGTGGAGACAAAAGTCCCCGGGGATCATCAGGTCCTTTCAGACTGCCACTGCGGGTGACTCTGCTTTGCCTATAGTAGTCCAGCATAACTCTGTTGGGAGTTTCATTATTACACAGACAAACATGGTGGTAAAGCTGAGCTAGCTCTTCACTAAATGTCACTAACTCATCCTGGGCTGTATTAAGGGTATTGTGATTTTCGTTAGCTATACTGGTCATCCTTTGCAACTCCTTCTCCATATGGACCATCTTCTCACCACTCTCCTTGGTGGTCTTCTCAAGGCTTGTCACCTGCTCGTCATACATTTGAATCTTACTCTCATACTTTGCCTTCTCATCAGTATAGTTCTCTACAGATTTATTATATTTTTCCTTTAAGGCCTTAATTTCAGCTTTCAAATCAATCACCTCAGTTACTGCCACCCTGTACTTGCATTCAAGGATCTCTAAGCCATTGATGTCCACCTCGTAGTCATGAGTCTCCTCTCCTGAGTCCCGGCCCTTTTCCCCATCCAGCTCCTTGAGCTCTTTGCTGCTCTGCAGGCCCCTCATGGCATTGACATGCTCTGTTAGCCGGTGTACACGTTCATGCTGCTCTGTCAGCGCCCCCTTAGTATGTTCCAGCTGTGTCTGTGATTCCTGAAGGTTGGCCAGAAGAATGGCCTTTTCCCGCTCTACCTGCAATGGCAAAAGAAAAGCAATGAATAACTTCGATACCAATGATGAACTAAATCCATTCACCATGAGGAATGTATGCATTTTAAATGACTACAGCAGAGCCAATGTTCCCATTATTTCAAGTTAAACTGAAGTATATTTAATGAACATAGTAATACAATGCTATTTTGGAGGCTCTGGTAAGGCAATCTAAAAATACATAATATTAAAAGAATTAGGGTGCACAGATTACCTATTCACACTCTTATGTACAATAATCATACACACTCATGAAATCTGTTATTCAACAACTTTACTTTTTCTTTTAGCACCTTGGGAAAATTACTTCAAGAGACAAGCACAGTATTTGGCATTAACTTTAGGACATCTGCTCCTTAGCTCAAGTAGGACAAGTGACTGTCTCAATTGATAACAATCACCTTTTCTTCCCAAAGCTCAACCCAAAGTCGGGTTTAAAACCTAAGGCTTTCACTTAATGAATAATGCTGAATACCTTAATCACACTCTTAATAATAAACATTTAATCCCCAAAATAGATGTGTACTTACTTTCATCATTTTTTAATACAAAGGTTATAGATTATAGAGCTTTAACATTAAAAGAGCAATTTATAAATCATTTCAATTCCCTCAGTTCCAATTGAGAATTTTTTAAATTATCAATTAATTTGAATAATATGACATTTTTATTACTGTACAGGTGGCAAATAATATTATGTAAAGGCAAATATCCATGCTTCTACATAAAATATTATCTCATGAAAACAGGTGTATAAGAAATTGTAACCTGAGAAAAACCCAGACCACTAAGCAATAATTTTATGTGAAAAACCGGGTAATTATGTCATTTGGTATTCAATGAATAGCTAAGTCATTTGGACTTTTTTTATGAAAGATATAGAAAATCTGTTTATTTTCCAGTTATGGCATTATATATAATTTCAATAAACACCAGTATTTCAAGTGTTTTCTGGATTTCTTTGAACATTAAGTGAAATTACTCTGAAAATGCTATTTGATTAATACATATGAGCTCAGATTAATCTGTTTCTACTTGCACAAAATAGTCTGTATAAAAAATATTTTACACAGAATGTTTCTATTTATATAAAATAGTCTTTAGGTAAAATAAAAACTGGATCAAAATATACAGAATGTACCTCAAACACATTTTAGAGTCAACAGTACTATGTTGAATGAGGTCATCCCTTTAGAAGTTTTCAATATGTCCTTTACTTGCTAATTCAGACTTAACATAAACATCTTCTAAGCTTAAAAGAAAAAGTCTACCAGATTTCTATATAATAGAATATCCAATAAATATCAAATAGACCATAATCTTTTTCAGGTGTATATGCTCCATAAACTGTATGACTTTATTCAATAAATGTCTAGTAAAATCAGTTGAATAGGGACTGGTATGCACAAACACATACATACACAATTTATGTGGATCTGACAAAATACAAAAATAAATAAATAAGAAGACTACTAAATACAGATAAATTCGCAGCATCTCAGTGTTATATTTTTATTTAGCTATCCAGGCTTGTTGTTTGTTGTTATATGCTGTCAAGTCAGACCCGAATCATAGTGACCCCTCCTTGGGTTTCGGAGGCAGTATCACTATGGAGGTAGATTGCCCCATTTTCCTTCTGAGGAGTGGCTGGTGGGTTTGAACCACCAGCCCTCTGGTTAGCAGTCAAGTGCCTTAGGTACAGAGTGCCTCAAATTGTATTCAGACTTCAGAGAGCAGGTGCTTAAACTATTTAAGATTCATTGTGCCTTGAATTAATAGATGCAAAGTACTTCAAGATTAAAATTACTACACATGTTAAATGTCTCTATTCTAATCTCCATTTGTGAAGAATTTATCTAAAAGAGACTTGCTGCATTAATTATAATCATTCCACAGTACCTAATAATAATTGCCTCATTTGTCTTCCTACAGTCTTTTTAAAAAATGTTTTACTGTGATTTAGGTGAAAGTTTACGAAGAAAATTAATTTTACATTCAACAATTTATACATATTTTATTTTGTAATGTTGGTTGCAGTTCCCTCACTGCAACAGCACTCTTTCTGCTTCCTCTTTGGTTCCCTATTTCCATTTGTCCTTTACTGCCTTCGGAGTTACCCTTTGGTCTCGTATGGTTGATTGTATTGACAGTACATTTCTCCCTGATGTTATTATTCACTTCAGAGGTCTGTCTATTATTTGAATGTTGATCCCTAGTGGTGGGTTCAGTTCCATGTTTGAAGGCTGTCTAAGGGCCACAGTCTCAGGGGTTCTATCAGTCTCTATCAGACAGTATGTCTGCTCTTTTTTACAATTGTGAGTTTTGTTCTTAATTTTTTTTCTCTCCCTTTTTGTACAAGACCTTCTTTTGTGATCCTGATCAGAACAACTGGTAGTGGCAGCTGGGCACCATCTAGTTCTTCTGGTCTCTGGATAGTGGAGGCTCTGGTTTGAGTTGTCCATTACTCCCTTGGACTAATAGTTCCTTTGATTTTCTTCACTCTTGTTTGCTCTGGATCTTCCTGTAATCTTCACCTTCTATCAGGAACTAGGCATTTTATTTTTTACAGTTGAGATAGTTATCCTGCCAGAAAATCTGAATGCAGAATTTCTAAACTCTTTAGTCTAGTGCCAGGTTCAGTGTAAGTATACTGAATATGGTAACTATTATTGTTAATGTTATGTCCTGTAGAAATTATTTTTTATTATACTGAGTTTTCACCTTTTACATAAAAGCATTTACATGTATTGAGAACTGATGGATTCTTTCGTGAGGTAGTATTAACAACCAAAAAAGTTAATCATAGTTTGCATATTCATATTGGGGCTTTTTCAGTAAAAGAAATTATAGTTGTTTTGTAAGCTATGAATTTCCATAAGGTCATTATTCTGGTAATCTGACTCTCAACTTGACACTTGAATCACTGGTATGATTCTTAAAACTGTAAACACAGCATATCAATATGTGAAAATAGAAATCAGGAAGAAATAATTTATTCTTCTCTGCTTGAAGTGAAGCAACTCTTCCACTGCACCCTGTGCCCCAACAAAAGAGATTTCTTTGAAAAATGATCACAGAAACCCCTGGTTGACAAACTCTAGCAGTAAGGAAAAAAAGGCATGTTTTGAAGAGTGTAGTGAAAAGAAAACTCTCTCCTTTCTCTCTCTTTCTATTTCATTCTCTCTCTCTCCCTTTCTCTCTATGTACCTCCGCCAAGTACACATCAGTCAGTTCAACAAAGACTCAAGAAGACAGAAGAGAAGGGACCCTTCCCAACTCATCCTATGAGACCAGTATTACTGATACTAAAACCAAAGACATTACAAGACATGTATATATTCATGACTATAGACACAAAAATACTGAATGAAATACTAGCAAACCAAATGACAGGATGATCAAGTGGTATTTATACTAGGAATACTGGTGTCATATCTGAAAATCAATAAATGTAACACAGTGTAATAACAGAGTACAGGATAAAAACTACATGATCATCTCAATATATAAAGAAAAAAAGTATTTGATAAAATTCAAAACCCCTTCAAGATAAAAATCACTTAATTAACTAGGAATAGGAGGGAACTTCCTAGCCTAATAAAGGTAATCTATGAAAAATCCTATTCCCGTAGTGATACTGCCTTGGAAACCCAAGGAGGGGTTGCTATGAGTCGGGGACGACTCAACGGCACATAACAACAACAACAACAACATGAAAAGCCCACTGCTAACATCATGCTGAGATCCTTGGGTGGTACAGTTTGTGCTCAACTACTAAAAATTGGTAGTTCAAATCTACCCAGAGGCACTACAGAAGAAAGGCCTGGTGATCTGCTTCTCTAAAGATTCCAAATGAAAAAAAAATCAAACTCACTGCCATCAAGCTGATTCTGACTCATACCAACCCCCTTTGGGTTTCTGACACAGTAAATCTTTACAGAAGGAGAATGCTCAGTCTTCCTTCCACGAAGTAGCTGGTGGATTTGAACCCAAGAACACTCTAGGGAGCAATTCTACTCTGTAACACATGGGGTTGCTATGAATTGGAATCAACTCGATGACAATGGATTTGTTTTATTTTGTTTTACAGAGCTTATAAAAGTAATCTTTAACTATAGAATTGTAATAGTTTAACCACTTAAATTGTCAACTTTGTACTAGGAACAACTATTTGTTACCTTAAGTTTTAAAAACTAGAAACTGACCAATCTTATTTTTAATTTTCACTGCATAAATATTTGGTGAGTCTTAGTCAAGCAGAAGGGAGCTCTGGTGGCTTGGTGCCTAAGGCATTTGACTGCTAACCAGAAGGTTGGTGGTTCAAACTCATTAGCCACTCCACAGAAGGAAAATGTGGCAATCTACTTCCATAGAAATTTACTGCCCTGGAAACCCAATGGGGATCACTAAGAGTCAGAATCTACTCAATGGCAGTGGATTTAAAATATTTTTTAGTTAAGCAAAGAAAATATTAAACTTGTCTGACTGTCTCTATGTATTAATTTCACTTACTAGATTTTTCACTTTGAGCAAATGACATGATATTTTTATGCCTTGCTTTCATTATCTGTAAAATGGGAAAATAATCCCATACAGTTGTTACAAGTACCAATAAAGCAAATATATATAAAGTACTGTGAACATCAATGGGACATATAACAAACTGACCACTTACTATCATTGTGTTGTTGTTGTCATGTGTCGTCGAGTCGGACCCGACTCATAGCGACCCCTCCTTGGGTTTCCGAGGCAGTATCACAATGGAAGTAGATTGCCCCATCTTCCTTCCGAGGAGTGGCTGGTGGGTTTGAATCACCAACCTTCTGGTTAGCCATCAAGTGCCTTAGGCACTACGCTACCAGACCCAAATACAACATGAGCAGACCCAAATACAATATGAATCTTTATTTCTTTCATATCCACAAAGACACACACACAAATACTAATTTCAGTTTTACAGAAACAATTTTTTCTCATACCAC